CCCCCCCCCCCCCCCAGACCAATAAAGTTATAAGATGAATAAGTGAGGTTTTTATGCACTGAGGTTTCCCTCTCCTTCCCCTTCTGAAGCTACTTTGCTTGTTTTACATAAATACCCCTAAGCATAAGCTTTTGGAAATGTTAGTGATTCTCATCCTAAGCATTTCTTATTGTTGAAGTTGAGAAACCAGCTGTTTTCAATTGTCGTTGTATAAACCAGCGCTGAAATACATTTCCGTTGACTCCCCTGATGGAAGAGAGGTTTTTAAATCTTAAAACTGTCATAATATGAAATCTGAGGTAAAAATTGATAGTATGCTTTTTCAAGACAATCCACAAAAGGAAAGAAGAATGGATTTAAAGGATTGAAAGACCACAAGGTCAGAAAAATGGCTGCAGGTTTTTTTCTTGTGTTTTTTTTAAGTCAGATGTGTACTATATTTTAACAATTCATGTCTTCTTTCATGCACTTTTTAATTTAAATTCATTTCTTTGAAATAGTGAAGGAATAAAAGCTGTGTAAGTCTGGGGACAAGGATCATTTAGAAAGTTTGTATTTTCTTTTCCCTAGCATTTGTGGAATACCTGAGAGCAAAGATGCAGTAGCTTTCATCTCTGTTTCTACTGTGGATTTAAATCCTCTTAAGAGCTTCCAAAACAAAATATATTCTAAAAGTGTGGTTGTAAAATATTGAGACAGCAAAAGTAGAGGAGATGTTGACAGAAGGGAAGACCTTTGTGAGTGTCATTAAAAAATAAATGTTTATATGAAATGTTTATACACATGGAAGTAACTTGATTCCATTAATGCTTGAGAGATACTTTTTACCAGAAAAATGAGTACATTCTGAAAATATACATGATGGCTTGGGCATTAGTCCTTTTAAAAAGATGTGTTTATATATATATTGACTAGTAAAGTTATTTTTATATAAATATTTTAAATGTGCTGTTTTCAAGAGAGTTTATTTGTTTACTTGAATTTTGGAGCTTGATGGATTACATAATACCACAGTGGGTTTGTTTGTTTTTTTTTTGCCTATATTAAGAAAGGAAAAAAGTCTTTCCGGCTGTTTTTAGGTTTTTCCTGTTTAATAACTGTGATAAATAGAAGCACATTTGGAGTCTCACAGGAAGAAAGAGTTTGTAGAATTTATCCAGAAATTTAGAAATAATGAAGTAAGGTGACAGGTTTATCAATTCTGTTTTACATTCCTCGTTAATTAGCTTTTATTTCTCCTGCCTTTACCATTGGAATTGGGCTATAACCCCAAGCAATTGTATTGACTGCATTTACCAAAAGAGCACTTTCTTCCATCATCTTTGCAAAAGTAGTGTTGGATTTGATTAGTTTGAGTCAGTTAGGGTTTTTTTTCCACTAATGTGTGTGTTAGATCAGTGCTGTGTTGACATCTCTGAAGAAGAAAGTGAAGGTGAGGTGTTTATTTACTTAGTCAAACAATTTTTACAGAACTGATTTAGATGGGAAATCATTTGAGGTATGCCTCTTGCTAGGATCTACCATTCTTGCCCATTCCTCTGTGGTAGGTGAGAGTATAAATGATGGGATCCTAACTTCTTTGCACCTGTATCAAGTCCTCAGTGTAAATTATTATTTTTGGAAGGGAGAAAAGGCAGACCCAAATAAACCAAAATTTTAAACTAGAAAAAGTATTCAAAGATACTTGATTTCCCTCTCCTCATTCCCACTGTGTTTCCTTGTTGAGCCATACAGTGGACATTTCCGTGTTCAGTTATATCCTTCATGGTTAATTTATTTCAAGGTAAACTTCTAAATAGCCATTGTTAAAATTGGTATGCAAGTAGAAATAAAATGTGCTTTTATTTTCATTTTTTTGGACACTATGTGGTGAATAGACATTACAGTTATCTCCTTACAACACTGGCACATGCGCTGTCGTTGCATGACTAACCCATTTGATCATGGCTTCTGGCACTCTGAAGACTTGGTTTGTTCTCCTTCACCTCCTCTTTGTCTCCTGTAACCCCTTCTTTTTTTCCTCTAGCACTCATGAATAGTGCACATCCAAAATGCCCTGTCGAAGAGGTATGTCTGACACAACACTCTGCAGCTCTTCAATCAAGTATGCTTTGCTGATTTCGGCTAATGATGCTGTGATGTTGCACAATAAGATGCTACCACTTCCTTAAATTGCACTAGCTATGCAAAAAATTTTTCCCTTGGTTAATTTGTTTTTCACTCTAAAGAAATCCAAATGAAAATGCAATGTGGCCATTGAAAAAAAATTACTTGAATGTTAATATGGCAAAACCAGAAAAATAAAGAGGTCAGGATTTGCTTATTTTATGCAACTTAAAACACATGGTTTGAAAAAAAAGTTTCTGACTCTTAATCCACAAGTGATTTAAACTTTAGCAAATAATCTAGCTGGGAACATTTAATATTTTATTTTTACATGGAGGAGGGTGAAATATCTTTTTAGGTTCTGTGCCTTAGTACCTTTCCCTTCTATAAAACAAACAGAAAGAGACATTAAATAAGATTAAAGAGCACATCTCAGAAATTATCCATCAAAAGGAAAAGCCTGATATGTTTAACACTTCTTTTTGTTTAATTCATGTATTGTTTTAATGAAAGGAAAATAAGTTTCAACTCTAGAGTCCCCACAATGCAGAATATAGGAAGATGTGGGAAGGAAGAAGACAGGGGACAGGACCTGGTGGTAACTTGGACATAGACTTAAAATTATTATGAAACTCCACTCTGAATATTTTAAAATCTTCTCATATTTAATACAAACATTTTTTTTAAACTTGGCCAGTCTTAAAATCTGGGATTTATGATCAGATGCTCTATGTTCTGCATTTCATTGATAGTGGACTGGTAAGGGCTCTGCTATTACCCTCATACTGCTGTGGCAGTATATTTTAACCTCTTCAATACTTTTGTTTCTTTTCTTTAAATAGCTTCTCGGACCTCTAGCCATAGTGATCAACAGAGGGATAGAAGGTATGGTGCTGTTATTTATATTGCAATTCGGTGCTACTGTAAAACTTGTTAGATTGTGTCCCAGTATTACTTTTTATGGCTTTCTCCTCTGGTTTATTTTATTCCTTCTCTCTATCCTTAGTGTGTTTAGAGTAGACTTGAAAAAAAAGTAGAAACACTTTGATTTTTAAGCATGATAGTTTAAGAGTTTGAGGAATTCTCTCATCAACTTTTGTATGTGTCCTCAAAAAGGGAATGCAACCAGCCATCAAACCTCTGCAGAACTGTTTTATTTTTCTGACATCTATGTACTGGATCACTTCACAATGAAAATAAGCGCACTTTCAAGCCTCCTTTCAGTTTCTCAAAGGGTATTGAGAAAGGAGGTCACCAACCTGGATGGCTGGTGAACTGAGTCTGCCATTATTTTAGATGTGAAGGAACTGTACCCTTCATTTTTTTTAAATTGTTTTTTAAATAGTTTTATAAGTTATGCTTCTGCAGCTTTATTTCTGTCTGCATACAAAAGCTTCTGTAAGCAGATGCTTTATCTACTCACAAAAGTCCCTTTTGACAGTGGAAGTTTTGTGAGATTCTGGATGGATCAGTGGTGCTGCAGGGACCGTGGCCTGGCAGCACACGCCACCCCTGCAGCTGATGCTCTGAAAGAGCAGTAACAAACCAGGGGTGCTACCTGTGGGTCCTTCACTGTCATGGAAGTCTCTGTAATACTGGGTGAGGGAAGCAAATAGGCCCCAAAGGCCTTTTGAGGCTTGTTCTGCCCCACTTTAGCACCCTGGAAGGTTTCCCTTTGGATCTGAGGATACAAAAGTTTTTAGGTATCCAGCCAAGAAACAGTTTTAACTACCCTACTGTTTTCAGATTGTAGCAGGCTGAGGGCAAACACATGATTAGTTCTCATTATCCTGTGAAGAACTAAGACGTCTGCCATCTAATTGAGTTACACTTGTGTTTAAGTACTTTAAGCATTTAAATTATTTCACTGAAGCAAATAAACCTACTTTTTGGCTAAGGCATTTAATTAGGGGCTTTGAATGGAAGCATAAGTGTTTGTTAGAAAGGTCAGGTAAGTTGCTTTGAAATGAGAGAAAGATACCTTTAGTTAAATCAGAAAGACCTGAGCTGTTTTTATTTCCCATTCTGTGAAATCCTTGGACTGTTGTACTTAAAAGAACTATTTGTAGGTATTTTAGGTAATTATTCCCCCTTGCCTTCATTTCCAGGCGTCCTGAAATTACAATAGTTGCTGCTGAACCCCTCCGGCCATCCTCCTGGTTTCCAGGTGCAAGTCCTGTCACTCCTCAAGGATTAGGATTCCCTTCTGCTTCATCTCATGCTCAGTGGAGGAGAAATGAGCATCTTCCAGCTGAGGTGATTGTGAATTTACATGAGGCATTGTTTGATTTACAAAGGTAAAAAGCTCATTAGGTTAGAGAGGAGCAGTTTTTGCTTGCTCAGACTTTCATCACATTGAATTGAAGACTATGACAGTGTTCTTTTCCTCTGTATATGTTAATTAAGTATTCTTTCATTCACATGCCAATTTTTATTTTTAAAGTATCATTTCTGGATGTACCTTAATATTTATCTATTTTGTAGCTTCCGCCATCGTACGAGCAGGTGATAAAAGAAATCAATCAAGTGCAAGTCAATACAACAAATAACAATAATGCTGCTGCTCCTAGACATACCACTACTTCTGCAACACAAACTGACTTTCCAGAGGAACTAATCAGTCATTTGCCAGGAAATAATGTGAAAACTAGTGTGCCTACACACTGGGAATCTGCAGGCTGTCGAGGTGAGGTATTTTGAATTTCTCTGTGATGAAAACCTTACTCTGTCTCCTGATGATGCACTTTATTGTTGGTCTGTGCACCATTTAATATGAATAACAGTTAAATTTCTATAAAAATCCTTTCTTCTGAAAAGCTACTATTGCATTCAGAGTATCATTAAATCTTGAAAGTTATATTCAATTAATCTAAAATGACAGTCAGAACTTTGGGGCCAGAGGAGCTGAGACATCTTATCAAAATAGAAGTACTTCATACATTCAGACTGAAAAGTGCAAAACAAGCTTGGGAAGCTGCTGTACTCCTCTTTAGTCTGGATTTTGTCTGCATGCCCCTCAATGCTACAAGTTAACAGGAGGTTTTGAATTCAACTTGTAGATACCATGCATTTCAGCAATCTTCAGCTTATTCCTAAAGTTTGTATATTTTTCTATTCATCTTTTTAGGAACAGATTTTATTTTTACAAGCACCAGTAGAGTTCTCAATGAAAGCCATCATGTTTACTATTCTGATGGCTGTCAAAAAACAACACAAATTAAATGTTCTGGAATAGATAAGTAAAACCTTTTATTTTCTGTTAGCAGGGCAGAGTCCTCTTAAACCTCCTAGACCTCCTGTATCTCTTCTGAGTAAGTCTTCTGCAGAAAATGAGAATCCCTTAATAGTCTTCGAAAATCCTGAAGGTCAGAGGTGCCAAGAAAATCCCAGTGCTGTGATATGTCCTGTGCCAAAGCCAAGATCAAGAAGCAATCTCAGACCTGTGGTCAAAAGTACTGAAAGTAAGATAGACAGTGAAGAAGAATTGAACCAGTCTACTGCAAGACAGCAGCAGCCTCCAATTCAGCAGTCACCTCTTCTAGATGAAGACAGCTTACTAGACAATCACCTGGTGATGGACAGCATGAGTACAGAAAGGAGCCAAAATAGTATTGTTTCAAGGATCAAAGTTTTTGAATCCCAAGGCACTAATGATACATCAGGATTATCAAAAAAGCCAGAAATTGCCCCTCGTTCGTTTGTCCCAAGATCTGTTACTACAAAGAAGCCAGTGATTGCTCCAAAGCCAGGGGTGGGCAGAATTTCAGAAGAGTGGGATGCATGGACCGAAAGCAAATCAACACCTTCCAAGGAATTGCAGCCTCAGCCTGAAATAGTTGGGAGCAGTGTTGTAACCAAACCTGAACTGCCAAAGAAGCCCAAACCTGGCCTTGTTAAAAGTAGCAGTAGTGATTTTCTCGATTCAAGGAGTGGATCAGTTGCAGAAAACAGTGATGGACAAAAGAGATTTCCTGTTCCTGCTCCAAGGCCTCTTGTTCCTAAAAAGTCATGTTACTCAGAAAATCCTGCTCTTTCTTTGGCCTCACTAAAACCAGTTGCTGCTCCTCCACGGCCTTCTGCATCTGCCCAAGAAAAAGTTTTTAAGTCTCTGGGGGAATTGTCCCCTGCAGCCAATTCCTCAGCACCTGCTTTGCAAAATAAACTAGATGTGGAAGGAGATCTGATCAGTTTTGATGATGATGATGTTTTACCCCTAAGTCCAGCTGGTGGAGTTAAAGATAGCGTCGGTTCTGAAGCAGCAGCAGGTAAGAAGAAATTTTTTTTCAACTGTCACCATGGTTCTTCTTTGCAGGTGTATCCTGTGTGAGTTACATCTGCCTGTCTTGTTGGGGTTCATGTGTGTAAGAAACTTTTGGTTTTCTGTTATGTCAAGATCCCTGTGAAATTACATGGATTTTGAGACTCAGTAGGTTTCAAGGCTGTATAAATCTCAGAACTTGTTAGCTCGATATATTTTGTGATTACTAAAATAATGATAAAAGACGATCATATATACTAGATGTCACTTCCAGATTGTGTCACAATTCTCTCTGGGGAACTTGGGACAGCTTATCTCTCACCATCTAATGTGACTAATTTATCTGAGTGCCTTTAGCTCTGTAGTGGAAACCTACATCTGAAGAAGGAGCAGTGTTTGTGGTATATGGGAACACTCATGATCAAACATACTGGGGTGGTCTGTCCATCTCACCAATGCGTACTTATTTTCTCTGTCGTCTCTGTCTTGTCTTGTCATATGACTGTTTTGTAACACAACTGCAGCTTCAGGAGTTTCTTAATAACTGAAAATAATTATTTCATGTGGACAGATCAATTACTAGAACTACATTCCTTTCATAAACCTTGTTTGATACTATTAGGCACTTGGGGGTCAATTTTTTTAGTGCTGTTTTAGGTAGTTTAAGACACAAGTGGGTGTTGGGCTGTCATTACATTTTATAGCAATAGGTTTTGCCATCTTAATATTCAATATGTCTGGTTTAGTTCACCAGTCCCACTGCAGGGACTCTCCAGGGAGAGTTCTGTTTTAAAACAAAGGGTGCGTCATACAAAATGCTTGTTTAAGGAATTAGCTATGATTTTAATTTTTTTTTTTTTACCTCATCTATTGGGTTTGTGTGGCCAGGTTTTGCTATTGTGGGGTCTACAGGGGTGGTTTTTCTGAGAAGCTGCCAGGAACTTCCCCCATGTCCAACAGGGTGGGAGGGATCCCATGCTGAAGTAGGGGAAGTGTGGGAAGTTCGCCGCTGATGAGGAAGGAGCAGCAGAGACAACATGTGATGAACTGACCACAGTCCCCATTTTCATCCTCCTGTGCTGCTTCAGGCAGGAGGTGAGAAAATTGCAAGTGAAGTTGAGACTGGAAAGAAGGGAGGGGTGAGAGTACTGTTTTTAAGATTTAGATTTATTTCTCATTACCCTTCTCTGATTTGATTGCTAATAAAGTCAAGTAATGTTTCCTCAAGTCAAGTCTATTTTGCCATGATGGCAGTTGGTGAATGATCTCTCCGTGCTTTTAGCTTGGCCCCAGAGCATTTTGTTACATTTTCTCTCCCTGTTCATTGGAGGAATGGAGTGATAGAGTAGCTCTGGGGGGCACCTGACATCCAACCAGGGTTAACCCACCATACATCATTTATCATCTTAACTTTCACAGAAGAGCAGTGTAGATGCTATGTAGTTGTCATGGTAAATCAATATTAATGATCTTTAATAAATGCAATTTCTTCACAGTTCGTGAATTATATTATCAGATGAAGTTCCAATTTGTAATTGTTTCTGCTCTGTATTGTCATAAAAGTCCCAAGGCAGATGTAGAAAGTTCCCTTAAAGTTTTAAATTGCTAAGATTGGTGTGTAAAGACATACAGTTCTCAGGGGACCTTATGAAAGCAGTGAAAATAAGGCAACAAAAGATCCCATAGGAGAGGTGAGTATTTCAACATGGATACAAGACCAATTTTTTGGGGGCTGACAGATTCCAGGAACCAAAACCAAATGTCACCGAAACTGAAATGAGGCAGGAGTACAAGATGACTGGAGAGGTGTTTTGCACTTATGTCAAGGAAATGTATGGCTGATGGTGTTTACGTAGGAACAGCGGCATGATCATTGTGTCTGGAGACTGGTGTCATGGAGTACATGTGGATGGTTTTAAAAGAAAAGTCATTTAGGGTAAAACTTTCATAGTTTCAGTCATTTTATTTTCATTAATAGATGTAACAAATAGAAGAAAAAGGTACCTTTTCTAAGTAGTAGGCAAGGAAAGACAATATTTACATTTTGAAAATGGCTAAAAAGGAAAATCACGTTTTAGCTATGTACACTAAAAGACAGACTTACCCCCAACCTCGAAAAATTATTTAACACTAATTCATCCCTTAAATCAGAGGTTGAGTGATCACAGATGAAAATCACCTGAGAAATACAGCTTTCATGATGAGGTGATAAGAGTGTCGTTCTTACTCTTTCTTGTTCGTGCCCTAGATGTTATTGGTCATTTAATTAAGAAGAAAATGCTTTCCATCCTCATGGTTAACAGAGGAATTATGCATATAATAGTTTCCTGACTTCCTAAGTCACCTGGCCATGATTTTATTTATTCAATAAAACGTCATCTGTGCTGCAATCACTTCTAGCCTACTGAAGAGAAAAACTTATGGCAGTTACCACTTTATCACACTGTAAAATTAGGACTAATTCCCGATTTTTGCTGGCGTTTTTGAACTCAAGACCATACCCTCTACCCTGGATAACTAACACTGCAGTGTCTTGACAGAGCATCCACAAGAACAACACTGGCTCTCTGAAAATGAGGCAGCACAGAGCACTAGCACTAGCTATTTCTCATGTTCCCATAGGAACAGCTTAGGATGTGCAAGATGAATCCATGGTAAAATGTTTCATGAAGGCAGGAAGAGAAGCTCTAATCTTGCCCCCAGTTCCCCAGACCTTTGCATTTCTTACATATTTGTCATTGTCATTGCTTAGCAAAATGACAATGCTCTGCTTGTTGTTATGGCAACCCTAGGAAAGGAAGAAGGCTTTTATGCAGGGGTGTTGGAAACCAAGCCCCAACATCTTGTTTGTCAGAGAGCAGCGTTACGTCGGATATTGCAGTGTTACCAGAGCTGCTTTTTGTCTGGTACAGCACAGGTGTGATAGGCCAATGTAAACAGAACTGGAGGGATCAATCCCTGCTGCTGCTGACTCCTGCTGTGAAAGGAGGAAGGGCAGGTGTTCAGTGGATGATGGGGAGGGCACAGAAGGCAGAAGATGAAGTGAGCATATGAATGAAAAGGTGAAAGAGGCAAAACGAAGTTTAGAGTCTCCACAGCAATTTAGTTGACTGATGTAAGACATCAGCTTCCTCTAACAGAAAGCCCCCACCTCCACAGTAAGTGGAAGATATTTGAATACTATAAATGTGCTAAGATTAACAGTGTTGGCAACAAACCAGCTTAGTTTCACCAGTCTACACGTCAGTGTTTAACTGGTAGTTTAACTACCAAAACTAGCTGAATGATTCAAGTTTTTGTCAGTGTTTGACAGCATCTCCAGCAGCACAGCCGTTACCTGAGTGATTTTACCCTTATCCAAGCATAACAATTTTGTCCTTGTCCAGTCTGTATGAAGAGGGGGACCATTCTGATGCAAACAGGGACTCCGGATCCTGAGATTTCTTATAAAGCTTTCAGCAGCCACTCAGAGAGTTGAAGTCTGTGGGGCCTTTGGAAGCTGCAAAATTCAGAGGTGAATTGTGACAGAATCTTGCAGCCAACTCATGATGCTGACCCACGGGAAGAGCCAGGAAGGAAAAGTCAGGAATGACAAATCTGTAGAACTGCTTTGTCATCAGCCAGAACAGTTTTAAGTGCCATAATTTTGGACTCAAAGGCTAATGTTCAAAGCCATTTGTATCCTAATGAAATTACTTCTATTTGAGTCAGTCATTTAAAATGTGGAGGCATCTGTTTGGAACTCTACACCTTTTAGTTTTAATGCTTTGATGATAGTTGTGATATTTTGGATCATCTGGGTTATTTTTGCTTTTCTTTTATGTCTGATAACAGGGACTTGTGTTGTTCCTGGTGGTTAGAAGTTTTGGTAATCTATCAGGTGGGCTTAGTTCTCTCTTACCCATTTTTACAAGGGCTTGGAAATAAAATCCTAGTGCAAGTTTAACTGTGTACATTTCACAGCTTCAGAAGATCCATGATTTTACCTCTAACTTGTATTAGTTGTTATCTCAAAGCATGTAGTGTACCTGCTTGCTAAACATTATGAGAATGTACTTTTTGAACAAAGATCAGGTAATGGTGCATTTAGAGCACACATTTAAATTAAAACTTGGAGGTGATATTGCTGAAATGTTTTTATTTCTTTTCACATTTAGGGAGCTCTCCTCTCCTCTCCTCTCCTCTCC